TAAACTTTAGGAACTCAACAGTTTTTATATATTTTTGTCTCGTGTTGATGAAACATTTTGTCTTATCTTAGAACAAAGTTTTAGTTTTTCTGTATATGAAGGAAAATCTCCAAAATTGTTAGATTGTCTAAAGCATACAACAGGATCCCTTTTTAAACTACCTGTTTCTTTGCTGTTAATTATGTTAATATTCTGGGTATTTATAAAATATACATTCATTTTTTCTTTGATCACTTTCAGAAGTGGTTATGTATTTAAATATTTATATATTGTAAACATATGTTAGTCTAAACTAAGTTGTTTTCAGAAATAGATTTTTTAATAATTTTCCTGTTTTATTGTGAAAGATTACAATCAGTCCGTTTTTGGGTCAAACTGGCCTGGATCTAAATGATCATCTTTCATGGTATGAAATTAATGATTTCAGCAAAGGATTGGGAATCCAAAATTGGATTGGATTGGCTTTTGTTCTGTTCAGTTTTTGTTAATAAAGCTTTCGAACTTTCCTACTGACTGTCTCACCTTGAATACTGGGTCCATCATTCTATGACAAGCAGCTCAGAAAGTAGCTCAGATTTTGATTAATTCTATTAATAAAAAAGGCAATATTAAAAAGTGTTCCTCTTTATTTTACAGAAAATGATAAAAAATGTGATGACAAAAAGAACCATCTTATAATATCTGCAAATTTTAAATCAGTGTGGGAAATAATCTTTAATCCCAAAAACATTTAACGACACATGAAATAGTTGAAATCTGTATTAAATGTTTCTTATAGTAGAAGAAGAAAGAGAGATTAGAGATATTGTTCATAGATGGCAAAAAAGGTCACCTGTGACCGAGGGAAAGTTAGATAAACACTTTGAATTAAAGGGATTAAATAAACACAATCTTCTATAATCTTCCAATTTCTTATTCTACCTGCTTTGGATTGAAGCTCCATGTTCAGAGCTTCAAGTTCTCTATGCGTGAAAGAAGGATGAGCTCCTCCACTGAGTTCATAGAATAAACAATTTGCAGCTTCCTGCTGATGTTCAGGACCTTAACCTCGTCTGAGGAACAGAAAACTTTCAGCTGAAAAAAGGAAATCCAGTGGAAACTAGATCTATTTGAAGATGAGCTGATAGAGGAGTTCCTGATCCATCTCTGGTATCACTCTGAGTGGAGCTGGAGTCCAGAACTAGTGGATGTATTGAACGGTGGAGATGAGGATGTAATGGAGCTGCTGCTGATCTGAGACTGAAAACATGGTGAAGGTGCTGCAAGTGGAGGAGCTGAAGGAAGAGGCTCTGTTGGTTGATTACTCACAGTGGGAGGTTTAGGTGGAGCTGCTGCTTTAGGGAGATGTATTCCTCAGAATTACAATAGGTAACAATTCACATGAAACAAAGAATCTTCTGTTCATTTGTTAACATGTCAGATGTTTAAATAACTTAGTAGAAAACATCTCAGATTTCAGACAAAGCTCTCATATAGAACCGTTTTCTGGTTTAACAACAGAGACTTTAGTAGAATTAACTCTTCCTGGTTCAGTTCTTTAAATTAAAGGTTTCATGTTTTAATTACATTTATTTAACATTAAGCTGATAGTGAGTAATAAGGGAAGCCCAATGGTTACAACTACTTTATAGTACTGTGGTGAAGGTAGATTTCTTTCTGAAAACTCCAAGGAATTCATGAGTTAGCTCCTTTAATGCAGCTGATGATGTTAGTAGAAGCAGTGATCTGGACAACACTGCTTACCATTAAGCAATACTAGACAGTTCCTAGGGGCCCAATTAAATGTATAGTTAATGCAATCTTCCTTATTTGTGCACATTAATCATGTTTTTGACAAAATAGCTCTTGCTAAAATACCCCCCCCCCATTTCTGTACATGTTCAGAAAGGTCCAAACAGACAGCAGCAAACCATTTGAAAACAAACAATGCGAAGAGCAGTGTTGCCAACTTAGCGCTTTAGTCGCTATATTTAGCCACTTTTCAGACCCCTCTAGCACTTAGATTTCTAAAAAGCTCCTAGCGCCAAATCTAGAGACTTTTTTCTGCTACTGGAGACTTTGGAGACAACATCTAAAAGCAGCGAACTCTGCTCTCCAGAGCAAGTAGATTGGTAACCCCGCCTCCTGCTCTCCTCTATCTTGTCTGCTGTCATGATTCATGCAGCTATTATTTCATCCAAATGAAAAATGGAGAACAGATAAGCAGATCATGGCTTGTCTACAGTGAAAAGAAGGACTGGGTTATTTCCTTTGGCCTTTTTGGAAACACAGGAAGCAATCAGCTAAGTGAGCTTAGTGCTTGGAAAAAATCTTTCATTCCTTTAGAGACAGCATGAAAAGTCAGCTCAGTACAAAACATAGACAGAAAAACCACAAGAAAAAGGACAAAAAGGGAAGAAACCAAACCGAGAACAAATAATGTTTGTCTATTCTATTAAAAATTCTATATCTGTATAATGGGTCTGTTTTATGTCTTGTCTTCTCTATTCAGAGGGCCCCCTGCCTGTCTTTGCCTAGGGCCCCAAATGTCCTAAATCTGCCCCTGACTATAAAGAAGGAAACTGGTCAAAGTCCTGTTCTACCACTGGGAAACACCAATAAGGGAAAATTCCCAACATGAAATCAACCTTTCCTTTGCTTCCAAGCTGGGAGAAAGTGAAGCCCATAGTGAGAACATTTCCTGAACAGTTCAAGATGATTTCAGGGAGAAAATGATCCATATAGAAACGGATCAGAATGAAAGACGAAAGATAGAGAGATTAAAGTCCATCTAAAGCTCTCTATCCGTGTCAAATGTATATCTGACCTCAGTGTTTTACAGCTCAGTTTATTGTTGATCTAAAGAGAAGGAATGAAAGGAAACATGTTTAACAGGTGAGCACACCTTGACAGGGGGCGGAGCCTCAGGGGAGGCAGATAGACTTTAGAACTAGATCAGGAGGAGCAGGTTCTGTCACTCAGTGGGTTTTATCTCTGTGGACTCTGGAGGGAACCAGAACCAGAACTCTTTTCTTCAGACAAAGACTGAATTTGAGGAAAGAGGAGAGAAGATTTTTAACAACTATTTTAAAACGGATGTTCTTCAGTGGTTCTATTGAACTGGTACCAGTTCTTTTCCTGCTCTGCTGCTTCCTCCTCATGTTGTTAGATAACGCTGACATCAGACACTAAGAGCCTGTTTTTAGATGAACCATTGAGCTGAGCTGGGAGAACTGGTTTCCAGAATGAAACTCTGAAGTCTGCAAATTCTGATTTAGCTGCTGAATAAAAGCTGAAGCAGAAAAATCAATCTTTGTTCTAAGCTGGTCTCTGAAATACCAGGAGCTTCCTGCTGTTTCCTGCTTTCCTTGGGTTCTGGACGGCTGCAGCAACTGGTCCCCTATGAGCCCAGTGCTCCCAGTTAGCCTCAGCATGCAGGCTGCTACAGTCCAGTCTGGGCCGGTACCGTCAGCCCGGTGGACACCAGAGGGAAGGAGTCAGAACAGAACCAGAATATTTCAGATGATTAGCCCCGCCCACTGTTTTGATTTAGTCCTACAGTCTGTAACCCAGTAAACATCTAGAACCCATCAGAACCACAGAACACCTCTTGGACCCATGTTCCACACTAGGAAGAGCTTCAGCAGTTTAGGATCAAAGACGTCATTTTCTGGACTTTCTGATGGAGAAATAATTCAGTCTCCCACATTAGTCCTAATTAGAGAACGTTGAAGCATTTGTTTCAGTTTTTGGTTAAATCTTTAATGTTAGGTTTGTGTTCTGCTGTTTAATTTAGATTATTTGATTTATTTAAAATTTAAAATTAAAATGAAAACCATAATAATCAGTTATGTAAACAGAATGATTCACAATTAATAGATATCTAAAATACACAAGGGAATTTTGATTATTGAGCTAAAAACAATTCAATTAAAAGTTTAGATCAGTAATTAACAATCATTAAATTAATTTACCAGAAATGTTTAGATGTTCAAACCTGCTTTGGACTTGGGTTTGTTTAACAACTAGCAAATCTGATTAATTAAAATTTATAACTGAAATTGTGCTTCAATAACAGAATCAGATCCGTGTCTCTCTATTATCAAACTATTAACTCTAAAGGGATGTTTGGAGCTTTAACCTTTAGAGACATCAGATCACTCTCTACACACAGACATGCTTATTTTTATCATATGATTGATTGTAAAGTTACAACGAGCTCGCTTGTGATTGGATAGTACAGATCATGGTCAAGGCCAAGATCACAGTGAGGAATCTGCAAAACGTTAATAAGAGAATATAAAAACAGTCCTTATAATTATGGTCAGTTTTACATAGATTGGTCAATAAGTTAATTTAGAAGCTACAATTGAAGGATTGTTTTAGAAACCAATTAAGTCTTGTAGTGTGTGGCCTTTTCCCCAAATATAGCCCCTTTAATTCCACATTAAATTGGACCACAAACATCCATGGACCTTTAATCAAAGGCAGATTTGGAGCTAATCTTTCTATAAATGTTGCTGAACTGATTTAGAAGGAAGAAGGAACCAGATCCTGTGTTTGTTGAGATCAGGGGACATTTGAGGCTTTTCTTTTAATAAGGTTTGTGGAAAATGGGAAAGATTTTGGCAATAAATGATTTACTACTGCTGCTATTTATTAGATTATTATTTAAAATATTTGCTTTTGTTTGGTTTTTTAATATACAACTTCAAGTTAACCTGAAATATTCAGATTTATCGTAGAACAATAGAGCATAGTGTTACTTGGAGATTAAAAAAATAGATAATCTGCATAGTAATATAAATGAATTTAATGCAGCTGTGTTTCCAAGTTTTTAAAAAAATCTATAATATAAATGAAATAGTTTTAATCAACACTCCAAAAAATATCAGCTTATGAACAAAGGCCATCATTATGTCTCCTTGAAGATAAATATGTCCATTACATAATGAGGCTGAATATTACTGAATGTCCTTAAACGCATCATGTTCAGTCCCAGTCAGAGAAAAACTCACCTGACTTCCTGTAAATGAGGGTGGGAGTGGCTGAGTCCTTCCTGGTTCTCATGTTTACCTGAAGCAGGTAAAGAACAGGGAGCAGAAGCTCAGGATCCATTTGGTCTCTGAAGAACAGGAGGATTAAAACAGCTTTCTGTCAGAAATTAAAGGTAAAATCACATTAGATTCTAACTTTATTGTTACTTAGTGAGTTTTTCTCTCTGTGAGGAGAAAGAGACATGAACTCTGATTGGTTCTCTGTTCCCAGAGAGGGTTCCTTTATCTCTGCTATGGTCTGCTGCTCTGGTTGGTATCAGCAGCAATAAATGTGTTTCTGCTGATTGGTTCTGGTTCTGTAGAGGAACAAAGATCCTCTGCTCTCTGTTCAGACCAAGGTTGCTGTGGTGGTTTCTGTCAGGGCCGCCCCTCCCTAAATGTTCAACATGCGATGTGCGCAGAGCCTCATCTTCCATTAGGGGACGCACTCTGCGAGCGGTAGCGCAAATTGCGCAATGATTGCGAGCTGTTGCACATTTAATCTATAGCGGGGAGAGAAAAGAGAGCAGCTGTAATCTGAGCTCAGTGATTATCAGCTCTCTGTCATTTAGACATCATGAATCTGGCTTGAACATCAGAAAAATGGTTAAAACAGGAGAAACTCCAGCTTCCCTTGAAGGTTGGGATGTTGCTGAAATGTAAACTCTGGGATCAAACATCTAAGTTTCCTCTCATCAGTTAGAATCTCTATTTCCAGAATCTAGACTGGAGATTTTCTTTATTCTCCAGCTGCTGATTAACATTTATTGAATGTCTTAGTAACGCCCTATGCATTCACCTCTGATGAAAGAGAGAGAAAAAGATCATTAGAGGTTGGAAATAAGTTATAAACTACAGCCCATATATAATATATGGGCTATAGTTTTATATGGTTTTATATCAGTTAATGCTGTTAAGAACTTTTGGACTTTTTAAATAGATAAATGTCACTATGTGTCGGTAATTAAATTCACAACGGTCATCTTTTAAGACTACAGGGATACACTGATTGATATGAGTGGAACTGATGCATTAGTTGACAGAGGAAATAAACAGTCTATTTGATCCTGAATTATGTTTTATTAGGACTTTATTTGTTCATAATAATAATACAACAACAATGAAAAATATATTTGATAGAAGTGGAAGTATTTTTTTCTAAATACTAGTAGCAGTAGTAGTAGTAGGATAAGCCAGTACCAATAGTAGTAGTAGTTTTCATAGTTGTTGTTGTTCTAGTATTACTTGCATTAACTAATCAATCTTTTTGAGGTAAGTTTTTACATTAATTTCATGATGTAGTTTAACATTAAGACCTAAAAATATCTTATTCTGCTTGTCTGGATTTCTGACCATAACAGGATCAATATTTCTTTCCGTTTTAAGTTTTTTTTTTTTTCTATATTCATTAATTTCAGCTTAAAGTTGAAGTCTTCCAAATAACATTCAACTTTAGGTTCTCTATAGTTCAGCTTTGTGTTCTAACTTTGGCTCAAACTGGGAACTTCTTGTTATCGAAGAAGAGTTTTAGAAAAAGGACCAGATCTGTTTGTTCTGGTTTTCAGGTCTGAGTCCATTTAGTTGTTCTATTCCTACTGACAGCCTTTGCTCTTACTATAAAGAAAATAAAACAGTGACTGAAATGTTTCAGATCATCTCATATCAGGCAAAGATCCTAAAAAAGCAACAGAAAATATCATTTTGAAAATAATTTATCTGAGTTATTAAGGGGAGAAGCTCTCCTTACCAACCTGGCCCTGTGTGGAAATATAATGATATCATTGTTGATCATCAGTTAACTTGAATAAATCACAGTTTATGTATTTATTGTTATTCAGTGATTACTGTTGATTTTTAAGGCCAATACCGATACTGATTATTGATTAATTAACATCAGTCTAACTGACCCCTTATATCTTCTGTCTTTAAGTCAATACAGCTTTTTCTTTCCTTATTTACATAATAAAAATGACATTAATAACACTTTACACAAGTCTCAATTTGTATAGAGGGAAAACTTTTAATAACAAATCAAACATTAGAAATTGGAAAGTAAATGGAGGGAGCAGCAAAGCAGCTCTTTGCATGTTTTTAAGGCTTGGCTGCTGAATGCACTAATGAATCAGTGAAGGCAGGAACGTTTCTGTTGATACAAGACAAAAACACAATAATATTAGCCCCAAAATATCAGCCGGCCAGTGTATAGGTCTACCTTACAGCAGGACATGATGAGCTGCTCTGGAACTGGAGCTTACTACAATAAAACCTTCATTGCAACACGAAGTAGGCTAAAAGAGCTCAAACAGCATCACATCACGCCCTGATCTAAAGAGACTTTAACAGAAACATGTTTAAACATTATAAACCTCTGATAGATGGAAACTAAGTCAGACTGAACTTTAGGCTGAGAAGTTCAGCTGCAGAAAAGAAGCTTCAGGACGTCCTCCAGCTCCAGGAACGTCTCTGATGAGAGGGAAGCTGCAGCATCATGCTGCCTCCAGTGCAGAGCTTGATCAACAATGTCAGCAGACAGATGTGATAGCATCTGTCCTGAACAAAGTTCTCCTCCCTGATAAATCCTCCTGATTGTGTCTCCATCTGTTGGACTTAGAGTTTGCTTCAATAATATTGCTCCACTTATTTTAGTCGGCTTCCATTCCAGGAGCTTCTAGGTGACTTTTTCCCAGCACTCAGTACTTTCCTTCAGTCCCTGCCTTGATGCTACGGTGGCTGACAGGAGCAAACAGGCAGCAAACAGAGAGGTCAGAGAGAGGTCCACTGTGGACGTTTAGTTTCATGGTAAAGTGGTTCCCAGTGGACGTTTCTTCTTGGACTCTCTCCCACTGTCTCCGTTCAACATTAATTCCACTTTGCTCTGGAGCCAGAACTGTGTGCTTGTTTGTTTCCAAACCAAACTTTGATTATTAGTTGTTGGATCATTGAATTCCTCAGATGTAGTAAAGCCTGCAGCTGTTTCTATCACTGAGCCTAAGAAGAATGAGTTCAGCTGTTCTGCTAATACAGCAGAGTCTTTAACAAACTGATTCATGTCAATGTTCAATTCTTTCCTTTTTAGTCCGACCAGAAGTTTATTGATATTCTGACAGATTTGTTTTGAGTTTCCATTAGCATTTAGCATAACTGGAATAAAAAATGTTTTTGCCATTCAGAGCCGGATGGTTCCTGCTGGAATCAGGTTCCTCTGGTCCTCTACACACATGATGGGAATCAGCTTTCTGCTTCACAGGACACTAACTGGACCTGAACCACTGGGAACTGACTGGTTCTGGTTTCTCTCTCAGACTGACTGAAGTCCAGAAGATGGAAGATTGGGATCTAAAGAAGGACAGAGCAGAACCTCCAGGATCCAGCTGTCCGTCTATGAGGAGTGACTGGTCCAAAGATAGACCTCCAGACTACAGTGCAGAACCTGGACCCTCAGATATAAAGTAAGGAATCAGTTTCTAACTGATCCATGTGACTCCACAGAGATAGAACCTCTAGAATGTGAACTGGTTGATCCTCAGCATCTAAATCCAAAGTTCCTTTGTCCTGCCTTCTGTTAAAAGACAGCAAGAACTTCATGGCATGGATGAGTTACATAAATATGATGATAAATAAGTTCATAGTTTAAGATGCTCAAAAAAAACACTTAACAGTAGAACTCCTACGGCCGTCATTTTGACGGTTCTGAGATTTTAAATGGAAAGAACTATATTTTAAATTAAACTTATGTTGCTCATGTTAACAGACTTTTCCTGTTTCAATATTTCCTTCATTTTCACGTAGTTTTTTTAATAAAATAAAAACATAAAAAATGAATAAAGTTATTTCTTTCTCGATCTCCCACAGCCGTCATTTTGACGGCTCTATTAGTTGCATTGTAAATTCTTCCCGCGGTTGATTGACGTTTGGTACTGTTGCCTAGCAACCAACATTCTACCTAGAATTCTTTGGCTAACATGGAAAAATGGCTTTCAGAAGAGATCTAACAGCGAAACAGCTTTAGAAATCCTTCAAAATATTGATGATAGTGATTCGGACGGAGGGGGAGAGACCGATGAGGAGGACTGGGTAGGAAGCGGCTCAGATTCTGACAGTGAGTCCGAGGATGATCACCCATCCCCAGGAAAACGCAGATGTATCAGTGACCCATCAGACAATAGTAAAACTTTTGTTCAAGCACTGCCAACACCTCAGCCGGTACTTAGTGGCCCAAAAGACAAACCAGAGCCGTAGTCTACTATAATCACACACAGGTCGGTGTGGATGTGTCGGATCAGACGCGAAGGAGGCCTGTGGCTGTAATTTATGATCTCCTGGAAATATCGGCTATAAACGTATTTGTTTTGTTCAGAAGCTGTTTCAATGTCACTTTTTCACACAGAGATTTTATCCTTGAACTGGTAAAACAGTTGCGGGCAAACCGCAGGTTTCCAGCCCCTCCGCCACTGAAGAGCAGCTTTGGCGAGGCACAGAAAACAGCAGCAGGAGCTTCAGCGCTGCACAAAAAATGCTCACATTACGTTTGTCATAAATGTTAAAAGGTGGTCTGTGGGAAATGTTTGGGAGGAAGAAATCAATTTATGTAAATAAAATTGTAGTTTCAAACTTTGAACCTGTGTAGTAAAACAGTCTTACTCTACGGATTTATTTTTAATACAAATTTAGAACACAAATAATAAGCATACAATACAGCCTTTTAAAAATATATATTAGATCTGTTTTAAGGTTTACATATCCACAATGGGTTTATATCGCACAATAGAACAATTTCAGTTGATGACATCATCACTACTCATGTGTTTCATTAGGAAAAATGTCACCCATCAAATTGACGGCCAGTGGGAGTTCTAGTAGGATCAGAATCCTGGGAGTCCTGGTGTTAATTATGTGTTGAAAGTATTTAGTGTAAAGAGGACAAGAAATGTTTCCCAGATGTTTGTGTTAAAGCTAAGCTGGCTAAGTGTAAAATGTTCTGATGATATTCAGGTACAGATAATTGTCAGTGATTCAATGTTACAATACAAAATACAAAAACAAAGAAAGAAATCAAACCAGATTTATGAATAAAGGTTCTTCAGAGAATGGAGGAAAAGTGAGCCTTGTGTGGAGAACTTTGTTCATGTTGTTCGCTGGCTGTCTAGCTTCACATGGTCACGCGTTGTGAGGACAGCACATCTTTAGTTTTTCTTTCAGCTTAAAGCTAAATAAACACTGGAACTTTAAACCTTCTGCTTTTCTGCAGCAGTTTGTGTTCAGAGCTTCTTCTTATCTGGTTTTTATCTCAGAGTTTCTCACTGATTGATGTGATCTGAATAACAACATGTTTGTGTTTCAGAGGTCAGAACCACAGACAGAGAGCAGAACCTCCAGGATCCAGCTGTCCGTCTATGAGGAGTGACAGGTCCAAAGGTATCCCTCCAGACTTCAGTGCAGAACCTGGACCCTCAGACTCAGAGTAAGGAACCGACTGATGATGTGACTCTGCAGAGATAGAACCTCTAGAATCTGAACTGGTTGATCTTCAGCGTCTCACTGGTTTGGACTTTGTTCTGCTGGTTTCTCATCAGTATCCAACAGATTACTGACAGGTCCAAAGTCATTCTCTCTCCTTCTAGCCTGATGAATCCCAGAAGTAGTTCAGATGTGAATCTAAATGAGCAGAGATAGAGACTCAGTGTGTCATGAATCAGCAGAATGGTTCTGGTTCCTTCCAGCAGGTGGAACTGGGCTGTCCACACAGTCCTACCTGTGGAGCTGCAGGTTGGGTCCGTTCAGAGCTTCATCATGTTGCTCAGAAACCAGAACTCTCCCAGCAGCTGTTCATCTGCAGCTCTGTGGCGTCTCTTTCCTCCCAGCATCAAACAAACCTTAGCGTCACCCTGCCTCTGATCCAGTTCAGGTTCTATTGGGGTTCTGGGTGGTTCAGTGGTAGAGTAGATGCTCCATGTACCGAGGCTAAAGTCCCTGATCCGATTGTCCTGGTTTGGTTCTTGTTCTGGCTCCATTAGCTGCATGTCCTTCCTGCTCTCTCCACCCTCATACCTGTCAGATTATAATCCTCATTAATCCCGGTTTGGGTAAATAACAGGCAGAAACTTAGCTTCTGGTCCTCTGTCTGTGGTGGACCTTCATGAACATCTTCAGCTTCAGTAGGACAGCCCCACCCTGTTGGTAGTGAACTATTTCAGTGATGAAGAAATGTCTCCACAGACGGAGGAAGAGGAGCGAACCCCAGATTGGAGAAAGATCCAGAACCAGAGCTGGACCGCTGACAGCCAATCAGAGCAGCTGGGCAGCAGGTAAGACTGATCATCTCCAATCAGAGCTTCCTTCTATCGTCTCTGTTGAACTCTGACAACAGATCACTGATTACAGGATAGATATTTATATTTACATCATGAAATCATTTTAACAATCTGTTGTTTCAGTCAGACAGCTGCAGCTGATCCAGAATGCTGCTGCCTGCATCCTCACTAGAACTAAGAAAGTGGAGAACATCAGCCCAGTTCTAAAGTCCTTCCAATGGCTCTCATATCTCAGAGGATAGAATTTAAACTACTTCTGTTTGTCTATAAATCACTGAATGGCTGAGCTTTAAAATACATTACAGGCTTGTTGTCAGTGGATCAACAGCCAGACCACTGAGGTCTACTGGATGATTTCTACTCTGCAGAACCAGAAGCAAACATAAAGAATCAGCTTTTAGTTCTATTACTTCAGGAATCTGAACAAACTTTCAGAAAACTGTAAAAGTGCTGAAACCATGAGCTGATTTAAAGTTGATTTAAATCAGCATTAAAACCCTTTATTCTCAGAGTGGCCTTTGACTGTACGATGGAATATTGGGGCCAGGCTAGAGATTTTTGTATTTATTTTGAGAATAAAGTCCTAAAATTACAAGAATAATGTTGAAAAATAAAGAGACTAAAGTTATCATACCACGACCTGATTCAGAAATAAAGCTAAGAGCTCTGACCAGCTTTGACATTCTGACCAATTTAATGCTGGTGCTGAAAGATTTCTTAATATGATGCTCATCATTCCTCATTTTAGGGAAGAAAGTTCTTTTTGTAGGAGTTGTCATAAAATACAACTTTATTTTTTTAATTTTACGACTTTACTCTCGTAATTTTATGACTTTATTCTCTTAATTTTACTTTATTCTCGTAATTTTACGACTTTAGTCTCAAAATAAAAAATAAAAACTGGCGCTAATATGCCGTCGTATAACTGAGCTATCTAACCTGCTAACTGGATCACCAGTCCTTTCAGTTTTTGCTGGGCTGACTAATGTGATCCTACTGGGTTCTGAGATTCACATCAATTACAGAAAATATATTATTTATTTAATCTATTTTACTTTATCATTTACGCAGGTAGGCAGAGGGGAGGTGGGGTATTTACTGTTCAACGGTTTGAAGACACTAATTTAACTGTTTAAAAACTCTTCAAAATAAATGGGGCAACATTGAAAACACCTAAAATAGGTAGAATAAATTGAATGTTTCCTTAATCTTGATTCTGGCGAGTCAGAAAATT